GAAAACCCCGTCTGGTGGCCTCTAACATGGGAAACGCGGAGATCGGCTGTGAGACCACCAAGGTCCTGCACCTTGTGCCAGATAGCCTTCCAAATCTCCGAGTTAGGCCGCCTTGGCCCACATGTGTATTCGGGCCCTTTAGCCAAGCCCTCTACAACTCCTAAATTGTATGTATGAATATGTACAACGCAGACCTCGAGGACTTTCAAAACCGCGTGTAGCTCAGCCCTCGGGGGGAGCTCTGAATGGGGCCTGGCAATGCCCCGTGCACCATGGGCTCGATATTGTGTGTGTACTTGACGAAGGCCCAACCTGCACGAGACGATTCAGGCCAGCACCATAGTTTTCGGCACGCCCCGTCAGTGTAGATGTCTCCTGTGGTCATGTCAAGGGAGCCATACTCGACGTGCCAGCGCTCGGAGTCGTCGCGCGGAGGCAAGGCAGGAAAACTGGACCGAGTGGCCATGCCGCGAGTGTAGAGCCAGGACCCCCTCATTGGTTGCGAGAAGCCTGCCCAATCAATGCTGGCTGTGGCCTGTCGTCGCTGCCGTTCTCTACTAGGACATGCCCAGACGATGTGATACTGGTCGCAACCTTCCGCATCGCAATGGGGGCAGCATGACGTAGCAACATAGCCTAAGCGATAAAGCCTAGACGGGGCCCAAAAGCCCCCGCCCACAATAGCACGGAGCATAGCACTTTCGTTGAAGGAAAGGATACGCCGTAAGCCGAGGTTCTCCCCCTCAGACATGTCCTCATCACTTCCAGGAGGGTCGTCAGGGGCCGCCCTCAGAAGCGCCAGGATTGGTTCCATCCAGTAACCTCGGGGCTCTTTGGGTGCCATTCCATCATCAGCAGGATTAGGTCGACTGGCCCAAGACTCCCACACCCTTCGAACGGCAGCGGACCGAGCCAGATCCCGAACACTTACGGGTGCGATCGTGCGCAAGTCGAGCACGTCACCTAGGTCCGTTATGAAAGTAAACGTTGAAATCGAGCACCATCCAATGTCTCGGATCGCAAGTAACATAGCGCCTGTTGTGCCCGCAACCTCACGCCAAGGTTTGGCATCGGTAAGAACTCGGAATACTTGCCGTTGCCAGGCCTTTTGCAGCACATCCTGAGAGATAACATTGTCCTGAACCAGAAGAGCCCACTGATAAATCGGCTGGGTCCAACACTGGACCTGTGGGCCCTCGCCCATGGAACCTTGAAGGCAAGAGGAAAGCCAGGCCGAGGATGATGATCCTGGGGAAAACCACGTGCCTCTCAATGTGCTCCGCCTTCGGTTGACGAGCGCAGGGGGGGGCGCCATGCACGCCTACGCCATATTGCATTGCTGGTGGGAGCGCTTGCCGTGCAAATCGTCCAACTATGGCGCCTGCCTTACGCAGCATTCGATGGCGAGGGAGACGATGACGAGTCACGATAATCCGTTTCCGAAGTCTCCGATACGATAGCCTGCGACCCGCCGCCACCTCCCCTCCCAAAACTTCCAGGACAGTGGCATGCCGAAATCCTTTCCGACGAAGCCGATGAGCAACGGCACGACCGACCTGCGGATCCGAGGACGCGACCGTCATCTTATGTGTTGTGGGGTGAGTTCGATCTTCAAGAGGGTGTCAACCAACTGCGCGAGGAACTCAACCGACGACTCGACAATGGATTTCCGCTCCGCCGTAACTGCGACCGTGATGTCATCAACGTAGAGGTCAACCGCGCGACCGATCGAAGACGTGCTCGATACGAACTCATCGAAGGGCGATAGCATTACAAGCTGCAGACAGAACGTTGCCAGCGGACACCCAGGCAGCACTCCTCTAGTGGCTCGTACCTGCCGCGAGTAGGTGGATTCCCAAGAGAGACGCCTTCCACTGGCGTACATTCTCAGTGCGAGCACCAATAAACGGGCGGGAAATTCATGGGTGAGACCAGCGCGCAGCAATATAACCCAGGGCACTCGATCGAAACACTTTTCAATGCCAATTTTGGCCTGCACCGTGGTGAGCCCGTCAGGGCCCATGTCGGCGGCCTCCGCTTGGACCAGCAATCGGGCCGCCACGTCTGTGGTCGACTTGCAAATGCCCAGGGCGATATATGACCTCCCGAAACGACTGGCCCAGCTCCGAGCCCACTCCAGACGTGCCTTACCCCATAAATCGGTACAACGAGTTGAGCAAGGCGATCGGCCAGTATCCACCTGATGGTTTGGCCAACAATACGATGTGAACATGTCGTGGGATGCGAGGCCAGATGCCCCATGTCCCGCATAGGTGGAGGATATATCCTAGTAGGGATAAGGCTCCATTGCTTGCTAGGTGCCAGTGGCGGGGTCGAAACTGGTCTGCGCCTACGGCTGTAGTCGATGGGAACCTCAGGGCGGCCTTCCGAAGGTCCATGATCTTCAGGGGGGGGTACCTGGGTCCACGGTCCGACAGCTCCCCAAGAAGTCCCTCAGCTCCGCCAGTAGCGTCTCCCAGATATCCAGATGGGCCTTCTGGTGGCCCTCCGGTGCCCTCCCAGATTTTTGACCAGGAGCTACATTGCGATTCCACAATATCCTGCGGACTACTGGACAGGCCGTTGGCTGTGCGAACTGTAGAAAGCTGCCAACCCTTCGGTTTGGTCCACCGATGTACAGCCCCAGGAGAGGTCTTGAGTGACTTACGCACCCACGTCTTGAAAGACTGTGCTCGCGCATCTGCGAGGCGTCGCTCATCGCGCTGAGCAGTCTTACCGAGGAAGTCACTCACGAACCGTAGCATGCAGGGATACATGCGCTCTGGCTGCGTCGTAATGCACGTGATCAGGTGAACGAGAACGTGCACGATATGCGCGTTGATGTGCCTCCGTAGACGACCATCCCGTCCCCGTCCACCCATGAAGTCAGACAGGTGATTCCATGCTCGCACGCACGCTTGCAAATTACACTTGTCGTGCTGAAGGCGTAGGTCATTCACATGTGCCTGAAGTATGCGCAGTGCGCGTGTCTGCTGTGTCCCTGCAGGCTGTTGACGGCTGAGAGCACCTCCTGCAGTAGTATACGCATAACGTGGGCCATCTGCACGGCCACAGAACGCTGCATCTGGCTGCTCAGTGTGGAAAAGTGGAGCAAGCTCACGCTCCACTCCATTATAGAGGGCAGCAGTGAGATCCTGCAATCGCTGATCACGAGCAGTAACGTCACCATGTCCCTTCTCAGAGTCACTCCTCATGAGGTTGATCCAGTCCACGCTGGATTCACCACGCTGGGAGTAGCACGGCTCGTCATCCGCATCTACCTGCGCAACAGGTGTCATAGTGGGCTTACGCGGGAAGACGGCAGGCCCTTGCAGTCGGCAGAGCTGCTGGCCACGGGGGTGCGGCCCAAGGGGTACTGCCATAGGAAAATGTTGCCTTGCGGGAAACCCCCCCACTCGAGTCGGCTGCTGGTAGGACCGTCGTCATGAAGTCAGAGACCATCCAGTAGTCCAGAATAGGCATATTCCCTGTGGCAGGGTCTTTGTAGGTTCCCTGCTTTCCTGCATGAATAGTTGCCCGTAGCCGCAAGGGGTAGTCAGAGTTGACCATGACATCTGGTGGAACATTCCAATCTCCTGCGACCACGAATGGCATCGCATAGTAGCTGAGTAGCGCCCCAAGTTGCACGAGCCGTGCCGTGTTACGTCCCCCGAGTCGCTGTCCTTGTTCCAAGTGTAGAGATGCAGCGAGGAACCCACCCCGCATGCCCGTCTGCACAATCACACCGACCGCATATCCTGGAATAGTAGTGTGCCCTCGAGCCATTCCTTCCAGTGGGACCACGTGTATGTTCTCGCGGACGAAGAGACCGACGCCTGCAGTGAAGTGCCCCGCGTCTGTCGGGGTCGCATCTGTAATGAACGGCTGCCACCCATTCCGCGCACACCATTCTTCAGCGATCATTCGGCGAGGCCCATGCAGGTGCAGCTCTTGGGCGGCGACGATGGAGTAGCCTCGAGTGGTCTGCAGAAAATCCTGTAGCTGAGGCCAGCCTGAGCTATTGAATGCGACCATGCACAAGTCAGTGGTCCGCTTCGGCGCCCTGTGCCGCAGCCTGTCTGATCCATCAACGTGGCAGAGACCAGGCCGTAGGCGACGTACTTCATGCTCGTCGTAGTGTGCTCGAGCATCCGTTTGGTTATGATGATTTGGCTGCGTGTCAACTTCATCACCAATGGGAGTCTGCACGCACCCACCTACAACATCGCCAGCGAGGACAGGGGCATCGGCCACCCGCTCGTCAGCGGCCCTATCCTCGTTATGTGGGCCCTGGGGGCTGCTGCCACCCGTCGGCGGCCCAGGACCCATAGGCGACCCTGCAGATACATGCGGCAGATGTCCCTTTACATCATGGCTTGTCGATTGTGTCAGTACTTCCCACGACGCGGGGTCGAGACCCGCCAAAACTGTGGCACTGTCACGTGCTTGAGGTAGCTGAGCTTCTGCTTGGGGGTAGCAAACGTTGTGCGCCCCAGGTGCAGACAAAACTGCTCGCCCTCCATGCTGTGGGGGCCACTGCGAACCAAAACCGTCATAAGGGTGACTGCGTTGGCTCGGCCCCAAAGGTAGTATGCGTCCGTCCGCGCGCTGTCGCGGCATAGTGATAGCGGGCTCGACAACGCCGTAGTGCGCCGAGATCGCCAGGCAGATGAGATCGCTGTCGATGTCACGTGCCGCCTTGCTGCCCCAAGTCCATGTCCCGATCTTCGGATGGAATCTGAGCGTCCCATGCCGTGGGCGTGCCTGGTCCTGGTACTGTGTGAGCCACTGAAGTAGCTGATGAAGTCGGCGACGCCCGCTGTCGGGCAAACGCTGCACGCACTTCTTGGAACTGCTTTGAGAACGACTCAATGTACTTGACCTCATTGCCAGCCGTGATGCTATCCGCAGCCTGCACAATTCGCCCAAGTCGTTCGAATGACTCCTCCATCTCTCCGTGCGATGCAGCTCCAGCGTTGGCAGGGGGCACCGCTCCTGAGGTGGCCAGTACGGCAGCACGTGCAACCTGGACCTCAGACGTGGTGGCACCCAGTTCACCCCTGGCGACCTTGAGCTCAGCAGTCTTGATGGTGAATGCCTGCTCCAGCTCAGCCACCGCTGCCGTAAGGGTCTCAACCTCACGCGTCCTCTGCTGTTGTCGGTCCAGAGCCCTGCGTAATTGATTGTCTGGTGTGCGACTGGCTCGCTCCACTTCCTCCGCCTCTTGTAGCTCACTCTTGGCGGCCACCAGGAGGCTAGAAGATTCAACGATGCCAAGCCTCTTGAGCGCTGATACGGCCTTTCGGGCCCGAGACACCGCATCTGTCGACGTATGCTCATCAGGTTCAGCATCTGCATTGGAACGCTCACGTCTGGCGCTGCTGCCTCCTCGCGGCCTGCTGCCCGCACGCCGAGGAGCTGGTGATCGGCCAGATCGTCGTTCTGGCTGGCCAGCTGGATCTGGTTTCCCCGCACGGTCTCTGCCGCACTGATGGCACCGACTGTTGCTGGCGAAGTTACGCTTGTACCCGCATTGGCGAGAAGCAGCACAAGCCCAACGGGGCTCCACATGAACCACATCCTTGGACTTAGTTGGTCGCCCTGCCATGCATGGTCCTGGCAACTGCGAACCTTGATGCCCTGCCAGGATGGAGACGGCGTGCGCCTCCGCCCGCCAAGCGTCCTGCAGTGCGCCTCTCAGCGCCGCCCGCGGAGAGCAGCCCAGGGCGCGCGGCACGCGGCACCACGCCGCGACGCAGGGGCCAATCGCGCGCGCGCGCGGGCACCCTGCTGGGGGTGGGGACCCTCGACCCCTCCTTCGAGGAGGAGGAGGAGGAGGAGGAGGAGGAGGAGGAGGAGGAGAGAGGGAGGAGGGGAGGAGGAGGAGGAGGAGAGAGGCAGAGGAGGAGGAGGAGGAGGAGGAGGAGCAGGAGGAGGAGGAGGAGGAGGAGGAGGAGGAGGAGGAGGAGGAGGGAGGAGGGGAGGAGGGGAGGAGGAGGAGGAGGAGGAGGAGGCGGCTTATCCCCTCTCTCCGTCCGTTACCCTCCTCGCCCCCCCTCCATACCCCCCGCCTCCCTCGCTCCCGCCGTCTCCCTCTCGCCCGCTGCCGCAGGCTGGACCAAGAGCCGGCCAAAACGCTCCAAGAGGCCCCTCAAGAGGGCACCGAGAGGCCAGGCTTACTCGAGATCATTGGTTATCTGATAGTTGTTTGAAGATTTGGGCGTTTTTGCCTTTGCGGGCTCCCGACGCTCCAAGACGGCCCCAGGGGCCTCCAAGATCGCCAACGAGGCCCCCGAAAGGACCCCCCGACGGCCCAAGAGGGGCCCAAGATGGCCCACCGGGCCCCCCAGAAGGCCCCAAGAGGGGAAACTCAAACTAACAATTCGCGCCCTCCGCCCCAAGATGACCCCCAAGCTCGGCGGCGAGCGATGGGGGGGAAGTTAGAAGAAGAAGGCCTTCTCAGAAGGCGACGGGACTTCTCAAAGCCCTCGCGCCTTCTGAGCGGTCGTTTGTGTCTTCTGGGAAGGTTTAGACAACTTCTCAGAAGGCCCACGGACTTCGGAGCCTTCTGAGCAAGCCTTCTCCTTCTCGCTTACCCCCCTCGCTCGCCGCCGAGAGACCGCCATCAGGCCCCCAAAGCCACCCCCTGCAGGAGGTCCGACTCAGGCCCCAGGAAGCACCGACTTGCAAGAGGCGCTGGGGACACCGTGGACCAGGACCACCTCTGGACACACCCGAGAAGGGTGCCGGGCGGACTCGTCCATTGGTCTGGGGAGGAGGAGGAGGAGGAGGAGGAGGAGGAGGAGGAGGAGGAGGAGGAGGTTGAGAAGGAGGAGGAGGAGGAAAAGGAGGAGGATCGATCGATTGAGCTCTCGGGCCAGTTCGGTGCTACTCCCCCTCGATTAGAGCTGAGCTGCGTCTAAACATCAAGTATGGCCTAGCTGTGTTCGCTATGTGGAAAAGGGGGTCGCTGGCGTCATGTGACGCTCTGGCCCTACCTGCACCGACTCTTCCCACGCAGGGGTCCGCGGACAAGGTAGCACCCGCCGGCGAAGGAGGAGGAGGAAGTCCCTACCACAACTCAATTTCATCGTGGGAGGTGCCCCATCGGCTGCCCTCTATTCTTGAAAGTGATGCGAAGTTGAAGAATATGCGCGGTGCTAATGCGAGAGCCGAATTCTTGAAATCACCCGCCCTCCATCCTTGAAGCTGCTGCAAATCTTGAGCTCCAAGATCATAATTTGTGAGGAGGTCTCAAGCGAAACGCCCGAGCCGCCCGAACTACCGGCGTCTGGGTGTGCGACAGAGAGGAATTATTAGAGACATCCTTGATGGGGTCCGAGTGGATGGGGTCGGAGGATTGCACCAAACTGTCGGCGCATCGCCGATGCATCGGCGATGCAGCGGCGTCGGCGTGGAAGAGATCGGACCCCTCATCGAGCCGCACCGCCGATGCCACATCTGGGCGGCCTAGAGCCGATGCCATCTGACCAAAAGCCGGGCTGGAGCCGGAAAAGTGTGCGGGGATCTTCTGACCCGGGCAAGCGCACACCTGAGGGTCAGCCAAGGCCAGGCCACGAGCCCAGGCCGACCACGAAGTACAGTCGGGGCGTTGACCCAAGGAACCCGAAATAAGGAACGGGGACCCTTTTTTCCATAGGTCAAACGTTGATCTTCCATCGAAAGCCGAAGAACAACCTAAGGCAAGCTGTAAAACAATGAAGGAACACGGAGCCCCTCCCCAACGAGAAGGGTGCCTTCCTCAGGGCCCCGACTGTAGCCACCGAAAAACCAGGGTAAGCGGAGGGCGGGGGGGGACCGGAGCTGGCTCCAGGTAGCTCCCGAACCCAGGTCAGCCAGAGGACCTCGTAGGGGATGTGATGCTGCATCTTCGGGGGCCCTGCTCTGTCCCGTCGCGCCCCTATCCGCGTCGAATCCGTGTCGAGTCCATGCCGAATTCTGCCAAATCCGCGTCGAGTCCGCACCGAGCCCGCGTCGGGCACGAGAGAAGACGGCAATTTTGGGGGACAGGCGAGGCCCCCCGAAGATGCAACGTAACACCCCGTTCGCGCCAACCCCCGTCACGTGAGCCCCGAGAGTCGGCATGGGACAGACCTCCCTTTCGTGAACCTCCCTTTAGTGAAAACGGCCTGGGACTGGAACCGACGGACCCGAACCCGCAAAAATGACGGCCGCGTCGCCCTATCGCGAACCGAAAACGGCAGATTCCTCAATCGACGTGTCAGGGTAGGAGGTCTGTCCACCCCCGAGAGGGGCGGGCCGTCCTTCGGTCCGGGTGGTAGTTCTGCGACCCGGACGGGGCCCTGCGGGGGCCGGGGGGGCGGCACTCGAGCAGGGGATCGACTGCAGCACTGTTGCTGGCGAGCCCGCCCAGAAGACATGCGCAGGGTGCTCCATAGCTCGACGGAGCATTCTGCTCACTCGCTCGTAGATTTAAGCGGGCTTGTCCCCCTACAGGGAGATTTTCAAGGAAACATTCAAAATAGTCAAAGCAATATTCAAAGATGGTAAACAAACGCTCAAAAATCGTCCCCATACTTCCTTGGGACTACTTTTGAACATTCCTCCTGTAGAGGGACCAGCCCGACTTAATGGCAGATTCGTCGGGAACCATAGATTCCGAGGCATGCCACGACGGCCGCCATAGGCCCACGCTCTGTGGCCCGAACGCCGCCGTTCCGACGCGCGCATCCCCGCCGCACCTCGGGGCGATGTCGCAAATGTCCTCCTCCTCCTCCTCCTCCTCCTCCTCCTCCTCCTCCTCTCCTCCTTTCCCTCCTCCTCCTCCTCCTCCTCCTCTTCTCCTCCTCCATCCTGGAGTCGCTCCCCGCCTCGAGGCACAGCGGGGCGGCCCGACTTGCCTGGCCAGCGCTCCGTGGGCCGGGCCAGGGGCCGGCCCCGCGCATAGCGCGGCGGGGTGGAGGGGGAGGAGGGGGAGGAGGAGGAGGAGGAGGAGGAGGAGGAGGAGGAGGAGGAGGAGGAGGAGGAGGAGGAG